TATATATATATATATATATATATAATTATGTTTTGTTATCATATAAATATGTTTTATTTTTCAAGTCACTCTACATAAGGGATTCTCATGAAGAGCCATGTGAATGGCAATGAATAGAAGCTGCATTGGGTAGGTGGAGAGTTGAGCATTTAAGTTTAGGAGTTTACATTTTGATTGAATAATATTTAATTTTAGGAGTTATACCCAATAACATCTCACCAAATTCAAATTAAATTGGATTTAAAATCATTTTATAAAAATTAAATTAATCAACCAAATACAAAAATAACCGATATAATCAAATTAAAGACGAACACATTATATATATATATATATACACACACATTGTTTTCCATTTTGCTACTGTTATAAGCCTGGGTTATGCAAAGTTGAAAGTTTTTTCCTCTTTTCATAAAAATGATTATAAGGACGTGCATTTATTTCTGCTAAATAATTTCCATTTTGGACCGACAATGATGAAATGTTGCGGTGGTCCATTTAATGTTTGGGGAAATTTTCATAAATATATCTCGTTGTCTGATAGGTCGAGATCAATTAGACCCTACTATATGTTTTGATTTCTTGAATTATTGGAAATCATAATAGTTTTCTTTACATACAAAATAAAAATGAAAATCTCGTCTATATTTTTGTATCCAAATTTACAAATGTAATTAGGGATGGATATTTCGAGAAACGGTTCGGGTTCGGGACGGGAATGAATCGGTTCGGTTTTTTCGGTTTTATAAAAATAGGTACCAATCGGTTTTTATATTGTGTTCGGTTCGATTCGATTTCGGTATCGGTTCGGTTCCGAGTTTTATTAAAAAAAGATAGATTTCCTTTAAAAATATTCGGTTTTTCGGAATTTTTTAAAGTTCGGTTTGATTCAGTTCGGTTCTAGGAAAATTCGGTTCTCTAAAAATAATACCGTTCGAGAACTGAGAACGTTTTTTGATCGAAAAAAGTACCGTTTTGATGACTGAAAGAGACATATCGGATACTATCAACTCTGAATTTCATTACCAAAAGCCTCGAAAGATCGGTTCGAAGGAATGAATGCAGAAGGAGGCTTAGTTACCGCGGCCAAGATGTCGCCATAGCCAACGACTCCGACCAGAACTTCCTCTGCGCCGTCCTCCGTGACCCAGACATGTGTTGCCCTGTGAGACAGCATCTGGGCCATGACCGCGGCTAATGAGCTCGAGGTTTTGCAGGTCAAAGGCGAGCTTCTTCCCCTGTACATGCTCCTTCCATGGCTCAAAGATCTCGGGCTCGTCGGATTGAACCCTATGCTCCTGCTGCTGAATTTTTTCGGCCTCGTTTCCGACCCGTTTCCTCCTTTACCCGCATTGCTTTCACCTGTTGGTGAAGGTGAACCTCGGGAAAAGTCGCTGAATGATCTCGGTGACATGTTTTCTTCGACTCCCATTACGAATTGGCCTGCAGAAATGTTTGCTAGAGCCCAAGCAGCGGTGAGATAATCGGATTTCCAGAGTTTTGATGCTGAGATTTCACCTATAATCTTATACTGTTCATTTCCAATGGCCTCCACAACAGCAATGGCACTCGGGTCAACGAGTGGTCCACCTGTGGATTCGATTGCTGGAAGAGAAGCTTCAACGGAGTTGAAGTTTAGGTTGATGGCTCCAAGAGAAGAGATTGAAGTGAGCGGTAATGGAGCTAATGCTCCAAGACAACAGATAAGGAAGCGGATAACATCTTCCCGTGAGAGACAGCAAAACTTGTCCGGGCTTGAAGCCATGGAAGTGGGAGGCCTGTTGGTTTCGGAAGAGAGACTACTACTGCTACTGCTGGAACTATCCATGTTCTTCAGCCATTTGCCATTGTAAAGAATGGAGAATCTCTTGCTCATACCTCTCCACACGACACTTTTCGGAACCAGAAGACGTCTCACCCCTTGCTTCATCATCTCCAGAGCATCTATCAATCTTGCATTATAAAACCAACATTACAATGTCATCAGCACAAGAGAATATTGATTTACTTGGCCAGTGACGATCCAGAGAAGTTCACATAAGGAAATTAGGGCAACTTGACTGCAACCAAGTAAAACAAGGCCACACTAGTAAGACAGAGAATAGAATTCACCAACACCGAAAGAATCTCGAATTTCTGAGACGTATGTTAGAGTAACCTAAATGAATATAAGCAAACACGAGCTGGCTCGTTTGGCACCCCTACTTGGCAATAGCAAGTGCCAAGTTTCAAATGTATTTACAACTCGTCAAGGGCTTAAAGAAAATGAAGTGGATGAACAACACCAGACATCTCCCCTAGAAGTCATCTGAACGGTTTTGTGACGACTGACGAGACATTTATGCAAGTAAACTACAACCGCCCACATAAGAAGCGCATATGATGAGAATTTTTAGTCTCTGCAACTGCTTCGAGATCCCCCAGCTGGTAAAGTATATCGGTTTCCAAAAAGCAAAAGGAAACATGGCGACGACACTCAAATTCAGGGTTAACTTTCATTAACCCTTTTGTTGAATAAGAAACATAATGAAGCGTTGAAGGAAGGGAAACACACTCAAACCTTTTTCTGGATAAGGAAGCAACCTACAAAACATAATTCATTAAAGAATACTTCAACACCAAAGGGAGGATGAAAAAGGGATCTCTCAGCACTTTTCAACTGTTCTATTTTCAGTAGATTGGATTCCAAGATTTTTTGCAACACTTTTTCTAGTAAAGCTCCGCACAAGAAAACAGGACACCGACGACATTGTATACAGCACTGCTCCATCCAAGGTTGGCAATTTAGATGCCCAAAGTTATTTTATTTTGATCAATCATAAAGAGGTCCCACTTTCTTGTATGATTAAATGAACAAGCTTAAAAAACTAGGAGGGAATCTATGCACATGGATTTCTTTACAAGATCCAGCCTTGCAGAGATGAAGAAAAGAAAGCAGGGATATATCCTTTCACGGTACACTTCCTAAAGTTTGATTTCAAGATCAATCAAGCCATGAACTTTAGGGTAGAACTAGGATTAAAACTTTCCATTCTTCAGAATAAGGTTCCAAACGTAATTGGAAAAACTTTGCATGCCATCATACAACGAGATATCTACATGGCATTGCAAGCTTAGCTGAGTTGTGATCCTCTGATCAAGATAAGCTTCGAACCCAAATGCAATCAACTTAATTCGAACTAATCTCTAACACCCCGAATAGAATATACAATGCCTAAGAAACCATTCAAGAAACAAAACACTGAGTTGTTTGCTTCAGGATAAAGGACAGTGTGCATGGACTGTGAAAAACATCAAGATCATGAAAATCTGGAAGTTTGATGGAATCAAGGGGATGGGTGATCGGGCAGAACTACTCAAGAAACGCTATAAATTCTATCAAGTGAACAAGTTTGTACAATAGCTAGTAAGTGTTAATCTTAAACTCAGCCCAATGATGAACAAATCAAGGAAAGAGTAGAGGACAGACCTTGTCCCAGGATCAACCTGTCTGAGGAGAGCATTGTTGGGACTGACAACCTCGGAGACAGGGATCTTCATAGCTCTCTCTTGATCCTGCAAACACTCACTCCTCGCCAAGAACGCGACTATGTCGAGAGAATTCAGAATACCCACGAACCGCTGTTGCCTCATCTCGCTGTTCTCCACGAACCCAGGATGCGACAGTGGCGAAGATCTCTTCTTCCACACCGGAATTCCACACTCCGTCGACTCTCCGATTGCCCTGATCGCCGAATCCACCGTTTCCGTCTCGTAGAACTCCACCATCTCCGGCTTTCCCACCGTTAGATCCCCGACCACATGGTACAAGAACACCGACGCCATATCGCCTCGATCTTCACAAAACCCGATAGAGACAGATCGCATAAAAGAAAAATCCCCGATGCGCTTGTTCCGTTTACTCGTGAACCTGTTCAGCCGAGCAAAAAAAAAAAAACAAAAAGCCCAGAAGAAAAATCCCCTTCTTTTCCTCTGATCGGCTACTGAAACTTTCTCAGCAAATCCAGTGACGAGGGAATTTTAAATCAAGGATGTGAGAGAGAGAGGGAGGGAGAGAGAGAGAGGGCTATAAGAGGGAGTGGAGGAAGACAAGGAGGAGATAAAGACCGGTAAAGGGTAATCGGAGAAGGGCCAAGACAAGGAGAAGAGAATTCAACATCGAAGTCCCATGAAGGTTCTACACGATCTTCGTCTTCGTCGTCGTCGCTCTCTCTCGATGGCGTCTTGGAAATCAATCAGCAATCGTAGAAAGAGAGATGAACCAAAGTGACTCTGTTCACTGTGTCCGTATACGCACGTTCCAAACAAAAAAAAAAACGATTAGTAAAATATTTTATTTTCCCTTTAACCGAAACTCGAAAGAAAAATGAAATTCAAAAGAGAATTCGTAAATTTTCTTTATTTTATTTTTTACTTTTGCAATTTGTATGACAATCATATCATAAATAGAATTTCCAAAATATTATAGTGATGGTATCTGACTGTATTAGAATATTTAAGATTGGCCAACTTCTCTAACTAAAAAAAAGGCCAATACGAGGTTTTACGGTCCAACTGCATCATTACATGGAACAAAACTCAAAAATTAGATATTTAATTCTTTCTAAGGGTTTCAATTTTGGTCCAAAAATTTTCAAGGTTTCGAGTCAAACTCATATTAGACTTCGGGTCAGTTTGAAAATCCTAATTTTTTTCAAAAAATAATAAATATCAAAGAATAAATTTAGTGGATTGGATCATCCTAAATCCAAATCTGGTGTCTATAAAATCGGATTCAGGTTTGGTTATTTAGACCCGAAATTTTTTTGACTAATCTAAATCCAAGTCCGAAACCATCGGATCGGATCGGACCGATTGACACCCTGCTCTAGTGTCTATACATGCTGGACACATGGACTGTATTTTTTTTTATGCCATTAACATGTTTTCTCTTGAAAAAAACTTGTGTATACTCAAAAACTTTTTTTTTATTGGGTGAAATGTCGGTACGAGAATTAAGTTTAATACAATCATATTTAATTAAATACCGACAAAATTTTAAAGACATAATCATGTTTTTGCGTATATGTGTCCGCAAGACGAAAATTTAAGATTTGAATCTAAAGCTGAATTTTGGGTATTTTGATTGAATATATCCAATTTTATCATCTAAATTTCGGATTTTTTTTTTGTTAAAAATTATGACATTTAACACAAAGGGTGTTTTTCAGTTTTACAGAAAATATGGTAGAGAATTAATTAATTTTCGCCGACAGACGTTTTCGATACGAAACCACAAATAACAAATTGGTATTTTTTGTAATGGATTACACGCATTTCCACCGTTGGATCTTGCAACGTAAGATCCAACGGCCAATATAAATAGACGAAGATTTCTGATCATAAAATTGGTTATCCCGTAAACGGGCCCACATGGCACACGACGCATCACTTCCCTCCCTCTTTCAACTTTGCGTAAACGTCCAAGAATCTTTTGTCCTTCACTCTTTAACCATTGCCTCTTTTTTCCATTGACGCAGATTCCAAGCATCCATTTCACACTGAGAGAGAGAGAGAGAGAGAGAGAGAGAGAGATTCTGAAACTATGTCAAAGGGCGACGAAAGCTCATCTCTTTCTTCTCAAAGGTAAACCCCTTGGATTCCTTCCAATATCTCTAAATCTCTTACCCAGAACCCATCTGCGCATTCCATGTTCTTGGTTGATTTCGTTCTTGCTGCTTTCTCTCTTCGAATCATATTGCTCAGATTGGACTCTTTGTTTTCTGAGCTCGGCCTCTGAGCTGTCGAATTTCGATCTCTCGGGTCAGGTATCCAGACACTCACCCGACACGAAAGATCGAGTTCCGTGCTTCATTCGATTTCACGTCTTTGATTGTGTGCTTTTAATCTGTATTTTTTTTGGGAGGATGATCTTATTTTTCGCGTTGTCTTATCGTTTTGTTGACTCTCTTCCACTTGCCGAGGTTTCAGTCGCCATGAGTGTTTTCATACAAAATATGGAGTTTTGACAAGAACCCTAGGGAAGAATCTTGAGTACTAAATGTCTGGTTTTGATCTCTTGACTATATGTTCTTGCTGTTCTGATGACAAGGCGATGTATCAGTTCCGGATCTTTTGTGTTTTTCCTTTGTCCATCATCATCATGATCATCACCATCATAAGTTTTCAGACTTGTTCACTAACTAATAGCCCATCAAATTCAGACAAGAGTTGTGATTTAGAGAAACCAAATGTAGAATCCATGTTGGGTTTTGAATCAAACAGCTCAATTTGCTCGAGCCGTCTGCTTCTCCAAGCAAGTCGATTTGCTTCGTCCTTAAATCTACAACTGCTTCATCTGCATCAAGAACTGTTCAGAGAGATTACAGTGTCTGAAATGGAGATGTTTGCTGTCTTCAAATCCTTTGGCAGATCGATGGTCTCTCAGACTTCAGTGTAGAATTCTGTGTGCCATTTGTTTCGTCTGACATCTGTTGCAATTTTCATCTAAATCCCATCTTCTTTTTTACATCTCCATGGTTGGTTCTTGATCAAGAAAATTTTATGTGTATATAGTAGCAGATATATGTGAATGTTTTCAGCAATTTTCTTTAACCGATCTTTGAGTTTTCTCGTAATATAGCTTCTACCAGCTTGTACGCTGATCTGGAACCATATTTCAATCATCTTTATGTATCCTATTCCGTTTTTCGGTAACAGGTTATCAGGTGAAGTGGCACTAGTGACTGGAGGAGCCACGGGAATAGGGGAAAGCATCGTGCGTTTGTTCAACAAGCACGGGGCGAAAATCTGCATAATCGATTTGCAGGATGAACTCGGCCAAAGAGTATGCGATTCCCTCGGCGGCGAGCCAAATGCTTGTTACGTCCATGGAGATGTCACGGTAGAGGAAGATATGAGCAATGCGGTCGATTTCGCGGTCAAGAGATTCGGAAAGCTTGACATAATGGTGAACAACGCGGGATTATCCGGAGCGCCATTCCCCGACATCCGAAGCTACGACCTCTCGGCCTTCGAGAGGGTTTTCGAGGTGAACGTGAAAGGGGTTTTCCTCGGGATGAAACATGCCGCCCGGGTAATGATACCGAGGAAAAAGGGATCGATAGTATCGATATGCAGCGTCGGGAGCGTTATCGGAGGGATAGGTCCGCACGCCTACGTGGGCTCGAAGCACGCGGTCCTAGGGCTGAACAGGAACGTTGCGGCGGAGCTAGGACAACATGGAATAAGAGTGAACTGTGTCTCGCCATACGCGGTGGCGACCGGACTGGCATTGGCTCACCTGCCGGAGGAGGAGAGGAACGAGGACGCGATGGCGGGTTTCAGGTCTTTCGTGGCGTCGAACGCTAACCTGAAGGGCGTGGAACTGACGAGCGATGACGTGGCGAAGGCCGTGCTGTTCATGGCGAGCGATGAGGCCAAGTACGTAAGCGGAGACAACCTCATGGTTGACGGTGGATTCACTTGCGCTAACCACTCCTTGCGAGTGTTTAGATGAACAACCAGTGAATGACTCTGGTTTTTTTTTTTTTTTTTTTTTTTTGGGTAAGTTTCTTAGTGTTTGTCTGTCTTTTATCTCCAATGGCTGTTTCTAAGCGTTTTTCTGATGATTGCCAACTTTTTATTTCCCCTAAATAAAAACTTTGGGATAAAAAGATTTATGTCATATTTTGGTCTGCTTTTGTAACTTAGTTTGCTTTTATTATTATTCTTACTTGCAACGAGGGTTCCGGAAAATAGAATTGAAATCTAATAAAAAAAAATAATTTGAATATCTCAAATTATGGAATAAATTGAATGTTAAAATTGAAAAAATGGAGCTGAAATCTAATAATAAAATAATTGGAAAACTAAAAAATTCGTATTATTATCAATAAAATTAATATAGAATTTGAATAGATAAATTCGAAAATAATCAAACAGAAAACCTAAATATCGAAAGGTTGAGAATTGAAGGAGCGAAATTATAAGTTCAGCAAAGGTAAATCATTTTGTAAACCTTTTGGATCACACAAAAATCCCTCTAATTATTTTCCGCAATTTTACATTCATTTTCCACAAAAAAAAAAAAAAAAACAAAGCGAATTGATTTACCAGAAGCAAATTCGTAGAAGCTCACTTTGGTTGATGAACGCTTTCCTCTCTCCGTATTTTGTCTTCCGACGGAAAGATCCGTTGCCGGCAAAGTATTCCTCTGTAAAGTTGTCTCTTTGATGCTTCCGTCATCGACGATAACACTCGATTGATTCTGGGTTTCGCCTTTAACCCTCGAAATTTGATCAATTTGGCGGCGAATGATCGATCTCAGATCCATTCCGAAAAAGTGAGGGACTTTCGAGAGTTTGCCCGGAAAATTCGATCGATTTTACGGGGAACATGATCTCCTTGTCCTGTTCGGCTTTGCCTCCGATTATATACCGCTGCGGTTCTCGGGACCAGTCCGGCGATGAGTTCGCCGTCTCCGCCACGAGGGCTATTAGCTTGTTCTGTGGTAAGAGAAGAGACGTTGTGTGTTCTTGTATAGCCACTCCTTGGAACTTGGACAACAATGGATTCCGAGCCACCAAATTCAATGTAATGAATCTTGTTTAATTTCTTTGTGCTCTTTTTGGATTTCTCCTTCAGACGTTACCCTATATGTAGCAGAATCTGCATATCTTTGCTACATATAGCCGCAGCCATTTCTTTGCTACAGTATTGTGGATTCTTGTGTGATGTTGTGTCGGTGATGTAGTGTGTAATTCCTTTCAGCTGTATATTTTAAGTTCTATGTTTTGGTATGAACTTGGATTGTGGTGATTATGTCTGCAGAATCTCTCCAAGTCAGGAGGTACCTATGAAGAACGAGATCCGGAAAATGATTCTGATGTTCTTATAGAGTGTCGAGATGTCTACAAATCATTCGGGGATAAACATATACTGAGAGGAGTGAGCTTTAAGGTTGGTTCTTTCTCAATGCTGTATCCAAATGGTTGATTGGTTTCTCATGATCTTAAGATGTGGTTTACTCATTGGATCTAGTCCTTATAGTAGGGGAAAGACATCGTCGATGATTGGAGCAGCTTGTCATCAGTTTGTGAATAGATATGCCATTGTCTGTGTTGCTTTATTAGGCTGTTAGGATAACACTGTTGAATTCCTGTCCTGAGGGTGTTGTGTTCAGGTGATTTTTATGTCTAGTTGAAGAAATGTGTGGCTGGAAAGTGATCGTGTTTTAAACTCCTGAATACCCGTGGCTGGCTTGGCTTCTCACATAGCTCCCTTATGATGAGATGTACTTTAAGATTGTCTATTTCCAGATTCTTTTGTTCTTAATATGTCCTTCAATACTTTGGAAGATAACATGTACTCTTAACATTTTTACCATATGCAGATTAGACATGGTGAAGCTGTTGGAGTGATCGGTCCTTCTGGGACTGGGAAATCAACGGTTTTAAAGATTATGGCTGGACTTCTTGCTCCAGACAAGGTTCGTAACTGTTTCTCACCGTGTTGTTTGTTTTCTATGCATCCTTATTGTTCATCTTGATTGGTTTAAGAACATCATATTCTTCGAATTATGAACTGTATCCGATGCTTTGGTAAGCAGGGAGAGGTTTATATAAGAGGAAGGAAGAGAGTAGGCTTGATCAGCGATGAGGAAATATCAGGTCTTCGTATTGGTCTGGTAGGTGACGTTTCTATAAAAATCCTCGTTGTTATCTTGCATATTCGACCAGAGTTTGTTGGTAATTGATTTTCTATCTGACAGGTATTTCAAAGTGCAGCTCTATTTGATTCTTTAACTGTTCGGGAAAATGTTGGTTTCCTCCTGTAAGATGCTATTCTATGGTGCCCTATTTAAGTTTCTATTCACAAAAAATTGGTTCATTTTGATTGAATTGTTCGTTTTTATTAACCTCAGATACGAAAATTCAAAAATGCCCGAGGATCAAATCTCTGAGCTTGTGACAGAAACCTTGGCTGCTGTTGGCTTGAAGGTATATATTGATTACTACCTCAGTACTGTCCAAATCTGAAAGAAATGTGATTTCGCCGTTCCAGCTATAAAGAGAAAAGTAGTTTTTTTTTTATAGAAGCACTCTAAGAATGGATGTGTTTTCCTCACATGGAGATAAGTTCTAAACCCGCATGTATTAAGGCATATGTGGATACACATACAGAAATATTTTATGCTCTTAAGGCCTACAGTATTAACATGTATTTTGGAGTTTGAGATTTTAAATTCTATAATTTTCTTGAGCTTATAATTGCGTTTTTCGTTAAAATCAGGGAGTTGAGGATCGATTACCCTCTGAGCTTTCTGGCGGAATGAAGAAACGGGTTGCTTTAGCTCGTTCCATAATTTTTGATACAACTAAAGAAGACATAGAGCCAGAGGTGATCTGAACCACTACTGAATTCATGAGTTTGTTTCTTTCTCTGGAGGCTCGAGTCCTGCACAAGTGTTGCTTGCTTGATGAAACTAAGTGCTTTATGATCAAACTCATAATGTGGTGGAACTATAATGTTCTCAATGGATTTCGGATTTTTGCTCTGAGTCTTTTGCCATGGAAGAAGCTTGCTTCATCACTCACTCACACACACATTTCCTTGTTCCGTCTTGCCCACACAGGTGCTCTTGTATGATGAGCCAACTGCAGGGCTTGATCCAATTGCATCAACTGTGGTTGAAGATCTTATCCGCTCTGTCCACATGAAAGGCGAGGATGCGCTTGGAAAACCCGGGAAGATAGCTTCTTACGTGGTTGTTACCCATCAACACAGCACCATTCGACGAGCTGTAGACAGGTTTGTGCTTTCTGTCCATGTTCTTGAAACACGCAATCGCGGGTTGAAACCTTGAAACTTGCTGTTCGTATTATCCAGGTTATTGTTTCTGTACGAGGGAAAGGTTGTTTGGCAAGGAATGACCCATGAATTTATGACATCGACAAATCCAATTGTTCAACAGGTAGGTAACTTGGCTTTTGCCTATTCATAATTCAATGCCCTTTTGAAATGTGTAGTATGTTTCTTTATATTCTTCACTCTGTTCCTTCAAACACCTGACTTCCTTTAGCATAAGGATACATATGTTACTGTTGGTAAGTATCATTCTTGTTATTTCCCTTTTGTGTCTCAGTTCGCCTCGGGGAGCCTAGACGGGCCGATCAGATACTAGGATATATACATCGGTGCAATTTCTCGAAAAAACGAGTGGAAAGGTAAAATGTAAATTGGCATTTCACTATTCAGTAAGTATATTGTCTGGATTCTGACAACTATATCTTCTGAGTTAGAGTTCTTATGTTTTCTTTTCTGTGGATGTGCAGCCAACTATTTACAAAACTGCCACTTTAAAAGGATTTCGAAGAAGCTGTTTCACCATTTGTGTAGGAACTCAGCAGATGGGAGCGTTCATGTTTGTGGAGCTGTAGGATTCTAAGGCTTTCTTTCTATTACACAACAGAAACCAATGAATGGTTAAGAGGATAGAAGAAGGGCACAAAACTGTAACTTGTAAGGAATGTCATCAGCTGAGAACCTCTCTCTGTTCTAGAGGGTTTTTGATGTTATTCCATTCTCTTTTTAGGCAAACCATCTGTAGACATAGACAGTTATGATGATAATCTAATTGGAGGCTTACATATACAGTGGAAAGGTTACAAGAAAAAAGAAGGAAACAGGAAATGAAACTAACTTCCTAACTTGAAAGCATCAACAAAGAGGCCCAAGCAAACACCGGCTTTCCAGAAATTGATCATCACAACAAGAGACTGGAACCTCCCTGTAGACATGGAAGGAGGTTTCTTATACATGAGCATTCCTATTCCTTCAATGGCCGCAACCACAACTCCAGCAACCAGCACATCCCAATCGCCCGTCTGCCCAAGAATCGTGGCCAGTGCATTCGCAGTGTAGAACCCTAACAGCAGAAGGAATATCTTCATCGGGAAGTTCTTTCTCGCGGCGTTGAACTTCTCCAGCAGCTGTTTTCCACCCGCGATCGCTATCCTGCCCAGTCGGGTGCTACCAAGACCGGTTCTTTCGCTGTTGATCTCTTGGCTGTCGTCTCCTGAGACAGCACCCGGGTCTAAGGCCAGCGATATTTTCCATTCCCGTCTTCTCGTCTGGAAACTGTTTGCATAAAAAAAAGTTGGTTAGTAGTGTGTTAGTTTCAGAAATGGCATCTTCAAGCTGAAGAAACGAAAGCAAAATACCCAAAATAATCCAACAAGAACCTGGTTGAAGTGGTCTAAACATTAGGTAACGGGATTTCGAAGATAGAAGAATTGAATCGGAGCAATGCTACGAGTGGAGTACACTCAAAAGGTATGCCATTGTCAATCCAACACGGTTGAGCAAGAACAGGTCAATAAAAACCGAAATGGAACCTTCGGAAATTACCTTCTTGAGTGATAGGGAATAGACTTGATGCCGATCCGTGAAGCTATTCCACTCCGGTCATGGCTCCTTTTGTGGAAACGGTTATCCATGTCATCATTTTCCATGATCGATGACCTCGATCTCAGCCATGAAGCTTGAACCTGGCAAGCCATGAACTGCAAAGATTTGAAGACAAATCGATTCAAACATACAAATTCCTGTCAGGATGCAACAGAAGATGATGCTACAGTCCTAAGTTGGTCACAGCCCCAAGTCACAGGCAAGAATTGTTCCAGAAACAGTGAGAAATCTACATCAGTTAAACCACCGAAATCATTCCAAAACCTAATCAGCCATGCCAAGAGATGATGATGATGATAACAGTAACAGTATTTGGATTCGATCATCCAAATTCTCCAGCTCTAAGACCGCATAGTCAAGGATGCGACCCCTCACTCGTCCTGACACTCCCTTTACAGTAAATCTGCAGATTTTTTATGGAGGAACCAAATCGCTGAACATAAACAACATAAATGAGCGAAAAACAACCCTAACCAGAATCACGAGTGACAACAACTCAGAAAATGGCGAATTTGGGGGGGGGGGACCCAAATGGAGAAAACAGAGAATCGACGGAACCCTAATCAAATCGGAAAAGGAAGACTACGCATGCCTGGAATCTGCGAAACCCGAATGGAGCGCGAAGCGGGAAGCAACGAGCAATGACAAACCAAAGAGAATTTTTTTCCCCCCCTGCGATGGAGGAACAAAGATTGGAACCTGCAAAATGTCGAATTTATTTTCATCGATCTTTTACAATTGCTGTCAGAACGTGGTCCGCCCGGCTCGGCACGAGCCACCTCGTTTTGAACCCGGTTCGCTGTGGTCGTTTTCCTACACGGGTGTTAATTTAGGCACGAGACCCGTCCCGAGTCCACCCGAAAAACGTCGGGCTTCTAATCTAAGTTTTTCGATTCAAAAAAATCGAATTTTTGGATTGGACTTAAATCGGATTTGGGATAACTTTTTTTCAAAAAAATCTTAAATTTATAAAGAAAATGAACGGTTGGTCCGACCTAACCCGATTCGATCCATACTCTGGAACCTATAAAATCGAGCATTGGACTTGGTTATATATGTCACGGGTCTAAGTGTGATCTAGACTGATCCGTGAGGCAGCTGGGCCTGATGGGGAGGTTCTAGGGCGATCCGAACGTGTTGGGACGAGTGAGGATGCCGAGAAGCCCAACTAAGCCTATCTCAAGGACTTGGTCCGAGAGATTGCGGGTGGTTCGAGAGAAAAAGTCGACCCGAAAAAAATTTCAAACCCTAAACCATTTATATTCTCCAACGTCACTTGGCCATACTATAACTAATTATGCTAAAATGTCGACCTTCTTCTATGGTCTAAAATGTCATGAAAACGCATTTATGATATCAAGAGCTCGGACGTTATCTCCCACATAATAAAATTATGTCAAAATAAAACAAATGCACTAAATTTATTTATCATTCCAACGCAATCATAATCACAAATTCAAATGCAAAGTATCCACGATAACAGCAGATCGTAGCAGTTACACCATTAATGGCTATAAATCTTCTTATATGCATACAATCGATCCATTGCATAAAATGAAAAAGATAATATTGATTAATTACAGTTCTCAAATCCATCGACCAATGGAGGATAAGAAAAAGGATAAGCGATGTGTTTTTCTTTTATTTTTTGATAATCTATTTATTTTTTTATAATCTATTTATTTTTTCATGTAATAAGGAGACAGATTGCAACTGCTGCTTAATTCGTGTTATGTTTCCTCTCTTGTCGAATGAGTGTTAATGCGAAGCATTACGTTCAAGAAAACGATGTATTCTTTCTCTTTCTGCCATATTTCATTCCCTTTTTTCATTTTTTTCCCCGTATTTAAATTCGGTATAATAAAAAAAAAACTCACGTTTCGTACCATTTTAGTTCTATATAAAGAGTCTAGACCTATACCCATTTCGCATACTTTCACAAAGAGAAAAAAAAAAAACAAAGAAGAGGGCAAACTAAAAAGCTAAGTGATCGAGCTTAAACTATGGAATCTCTGTGCCAAGACCTGAAGTTCACAGTCCAAGAAACCTCTCTCGTTTTCCCATCTCACGGGACCAAAAAGACGATGTTCTTGTCTAACGTCGATCAAGTTCTCAACTTTGATGTCCAAACGCTGCATTTCTTCCGACCCAGCAAGGATTTTCCGCCGGAGATCGTGTCGGAGATGCTGAAAGACGGGGTGGGAAGAGCAATGGAGAGCTACGAGTTCGTGGCCGGGAGATTACGCACTAACCCTAGCTCGGGACGGCTAGAAGTCGAGTGTAACGGGGCGGGGGCCGGGTTCGTGAGGGCGAGGAGTGAGTGTACGTTGGACGAACTCGGGGACTTGGTTTATCCAAACCCGGCATTTGCGAATCTGGTCACAAGTCGTTTGGAGAATTTGCCCGAAGATGATCAACCTATATGTACCTTTCAGGTGACTTCTTTTTTTTTTTTCTTCTTCTATTTTGTTTTTCGTGTGGTCGTGATCTTTGATGTGCATCCATTCGTAAAATGATCTAATATTCGAGGCAAATTACCAAGAAAACAATGAGTTTGTACCAAAAACACAAACATTTTTTTTTTATATAATATATGAAAACAAACCATAATAGTATCATGAAATATATATGTATATGATATTGGAATCATATTTGATAAGTATATATTTGACAAAATGTCAAATCTCTATGAGATTTGTTTTCATTCATCCATGAAATCTTTCGGATTTATTTTTGGGGGTTGGATGTGACTTATGTTACGCATCCAAAACTACAAAAGATATAACGTTCTTTATAAACCGTTACACCCCGCAAAATAAAAAGTTCAGATAATGAAATTTATGATGGAGTACGGTTTCAGAAGTATATAATACTTCATTCCTAGGAGTTATAACAAAAAAAAATGGAAAATTAAAACATGATGACATATATCTTTGTACACATGTCATATATAACTCGGGCATGCTCCATGTTCTCCGCAGATGCTGTTACGTGTAGGATCATAAGTTCTGGTAGTTTAGCTTATTCGCATGCATAAATATAGAAATAATATTTATAAAATGATGTTTTCTAATCTTTGTAATTAATTTTGACTCAATAATAACAATAATCAGATAACGTCGTTCAAGTGCGGTGGATTTGTCATGGGAGTGTCCACAAACCATGCAGCGTTCGACGGATTAAGTTTCAGAAACTTTCTTGGGAACTTAGCCTCTCTAATCTCAAACAATTCTCTATCGGTCACGCCTTGCAACGATCGCCGCCTTCTTCAAGCTCGGTCTCCACCGCAAGTCACGTTCACTCACCACGAGCTCGTTCAGATCCAAGATTCCACCTCGCAAGTCTTCGAAGCCACTTCACAAGATTTGGACATCGAGATACTGAAGCTTGGATCCCGAGAAATCGATAAGCTGAAAGAGAAAGCGGGCCGGGGAGAGAGCAGTTGTGTCCGAATCACGAGCTTTAACGTCGTCACTGCCCTTATATGGAAGTGTAAGGCGCTCTCTGTCCCTGTCGGAACGGATCGAGATCCAAGAAACGAGGATCTTGATGAGAAGGAATCGACGATTCTTTACGCGGTTGACATCAGGTCGAGGCTGAATCCTCCTCTGCCGTTTTCTTACACGGGAAACGCTGTGTTAACCGCGTACGCAAGGGCCAAACGCAAGGAACTGCTTCGAGAACCGTTCTGGAGAATCGTGGAGAAGGTCGAGGGAGGTGCGAAGAGGATGACGGACGAGTACGCAAGGTCTGTGATCGACTGGGGAGAGATGCACAAGGGGTTTCCGCACGGCGAAGTGTTGGTCTCGTCGTGGTGGAAACTAGGGTTTGCTGACGTGGAATTTCCTTGGGGGAGACCAAAGTATAGTTGCCCTGTCGTGTATCACAGGAAAGACATCATCTTGTTCTTACCCGACATCGATCCATCGAGCAAAGGCGTTAATGTCTTGGTTGCCTTGCCTCCCAAGGAAATGGAAATTTTTCAAGCCTTGTTTCAAGAGTTCTTGGCTTGAAAATTCGAAGAAGCCACGAACAGTAGTCTCTTAATTTATGTTAATTATAACTATCATGGATGTGAACTTATGAGATATTTTTATATTTACTTTTTTCTACATATATATATATATATGTCTTAGTTACTTTTCAGTGGTGATAATTAATGGCCGAATTATGAGATATTTTCCAAACTGAGTAATATATTGAAATAAATACGATAATCAATTAAGGGAAATTAATAACACAATGGAAATGCATTTTCCATACTCTTTTTAATTAGCAACGCCATAGTTTAAATTCGATGCACATCTTTTGTTTTGCAGATGTTATCTCAGTCTCTTTTCATCGAATGTGGACTTTATGTCAGACGAAAAGGAATTGAATTCGATATGGATCTTATGGTTTGTTTTAAAAGGAACTTTTAATGCTATGGAAGACATTGAGCAACATTATAAGAATAAGCATTTAGGACAAGTTGTTTAATTTTTTTTTTATAAGAATAAGCATATATAGGCCAAGTTGTTTAAAAAAAAGACATTTTATGAATATATATATATATATATATATATATATATATGACAAGTTGATTTTTTTTTACGATGGAAAACCCCTATTCTACAACTTTTCGGGTCGGACACCGCAACACGTCTCAGCCTGTGGCCGGACGAGAACGGCATCTGAACAGCATCGCGAATCTGAGAAAACTCACCGCCCCGTGCAATACCCGCAAACCACACGGATGTATAATTTTTAATTGATGTATTATATAAATTTATAATTTTTTATATTATTAAATAAATTTAATAATAATATTTTTTAATTATTTTATATAAATTGAAAGGTCCCGAAAAAGTTTGAGACGGCCGTCTACTACGTATGAGCTTGCGTTTATTTCTATGTAAACGTGACCAACGTAAAAAGCGAGAAGCTGAAACCGAGGACGAACAAAAGCAGATTCGCATGCTCTTTCTCTCTCTCTCTCTCGTGGAGATGTCCAATCTACACTTTCCTCTCACTTTCATATGTATATGGCGTAACACGTCACACCACATATCTTAAAACATTTAAATCTCCCCCTCTATATTTCTCTGAAACTCAATCATAATGATTATGGCATATATATATATATATATATATATATATATATTCTACTGCTGCTCAATTATTGTATAACCGTAAGTGTGTGTATATTTATTTGGGAGCGAAAGTAAAGTGGTTATATTTTCTTCATCTTCCACAGCCTCTCTCTCTCTCTCTCTCTCTCTCTCTCTCTCTCTCTCTCACAATAGAGATGTCCAATCTACTATGTAAAAAAAACACGTACACCGTTCAATCACTCTCATACGTACATATCACATAACACATCACAACACAAATCTCCACATATATGCATCTCGTGTATCTTAGGTATATCTTTTTATAAAAATATAACATTTTTTTCTAGTGTTGCTCAAGTATTTTTATTACCGTCCGCGTATATATATATATATATATATATATATATATATATATATTGATATATGAGATGGATCCAAGTAAAAGAGATTTTACGTTCTTCGTCCTCCGCATCCGCTCTCCCTTTGGCAATTGAAGTAAACCGCGGCAACGGGCAGGCCGAGGTTGTAGAGCTCGGCGAACTCTCTCGTGTTGAAGTTCTGTCTCCAGCCGGGCGCGTACACCGTCTGTCTCCCGAGCTGTCGGAACAATATTAGCACGAAACGGTGGATCCCCGACGTCGGCCGTGGATTCTCGTAGCACACCACCTCGTTCCCTATATATATATATTTATAAAAACAAAATTCCAACACACCGTTCAAATTCTCCATTTTTCTTGTAACATGCTCTAATTAGCTGACGAATATAGTAGAAAAATCTCACCAAAGTTGGCTCCAGTTGTTGCAGGAATATCCGTCACCAACCTGTCAAGTAGACATAACCCATTGTTCATAACGGACCGTAAAACTATATATACATATACATAGAGGTTGGTGTGGTCCTATGCCCCACCCATTAAATAAAAAAAATTCTAATTTATTTATAAATTTTATAAAATTTTAATAAAAAAAAAAACTCAAAATGCCCCCTATAAATATCGTTTCGATCCACAGTGACTAAGTTAAAATTTCGATAATGTGATAATCTGAGATCTAGTCCAGCTTTATCCCCACACGTGCCGTCGTATTTCATAAAGTTGCGGCCACTGTCCATGGAGTAGTAATTCATGCACAAGTTATGTTACATGTGTTTGTAATGATTTTTCAAAATCTGGGAATCCTGTTCTTTCGAATTTCAGTACAAGAGAGGAAAGGCGGTCTTTCCTCATCCTTTCACCTTTCTCGTGCACTACTTGCTGTGGTCTCTGTAAAGGGAATCGGTCCGGTTGGAATCAAAAGGACGGAGAAAAAGCGAAAAAGAGCGGAGTCTCTTTTTCATCATATCTACGAGGCCCTATGCGTGTGTCCCAAAACCTCCCGAACGCTCTTTTTTTTTTTTTTTGGTTAACAGGGTATTCTGAACCGAAGCTCAGATTAATCGTGAGGCCTGGAGCTAACCGAGTGATTTGGAATATACGCTACCTCTCCAAATTTGACGTTCGAATTGAGGACGGGACAGACGCTTTGCACCCGTTTTACCGGTTGAACTATCCATGTTTGGGTATCTGAAAGCTCTTCGCTTTAAATTGATTGAGCTTCTTCTTTTTTCTACCTTATTGTTTCATTCTAATTAGATATATAAGATATGCTTAGCAAAAACGCAGCTTATTCGACCGACCGTACGTGCCTAAACCCTGGATGGATAGAGACAAGCATGCGAAAAGAGCACTAATTCTTTGTGATCCCGAACATTGTATACGTTATTACAACATATGAAATTGATTTTATATATTCACTTCCTCGTCTTGTAACATGCATGACCCTTTTTCTGTTCACACACATATGTGTGTGTGCACTGTGCATGCATGATTGGTTTTTCTGAGATCGTTTTCTAGGGCATCACAAACTCGCACACGCTATACGTATACGTAAGTTGCTAAACATTATCCAAAGCCTCATTATGGACACCGTGTCACACTTAAGTTAATTCATGGCTCTTAATACCGATTATCCAAAGCCTCATTGTGTATATGTGTGTATGTATGTACGTACTTTGACACTCTAATACCGAGTAGACTTCCTACCAATTAATGCGCTCACTAGCCTTATCGTCTATTCACTGTATCTCCGCCATCTGTCCACACTCTCATAAACATTTTGGTGACTCTATACACATCAGATTCTCGTCCAATGTTCGACCAGAAACAAAGGTAAACCACGCAAATATGTGCATATACATATATATAAGCTAGCGAAATACATGTTATAAGAAGGGTTTTACGCACCAATGGAGATATTCTCGGAGGTGTGGATTGCTCGGGCTTGGCGCATCAGGATCCACCATGACCTTCACGAAAACAGCGAAAACACACCGATAAAATCGAGGAAGAAGAAGAAGAAGAGGAAAATCTCGACTGTTGACAAGATCATGGTTCATCAGTTATATCATCATTAACCTAAGATGCCCTTTTTCACAGTATTCTCAAAGGCTGAAAAAAAAAACTTGTAACGTAGATTCCAAGGGAATCAGTTAGGTGGCGAATCATTTCGGTGCAGGCTGAGGATTCGATTCTCATAAACAATTCCTTGAGACCACAACCCCCCCATGCACGCGAAAGAACATAACCCTAAAACCAGATCGAATAGGGCAGAGAATATAAAATGAGATGGAAAAATGGCGAGGACCAAAGTGTAGAAAGTCCTGAGATCGTCTCCTCCGATATCAACCCTAGGTTTGTGCAGAACGTGAGAAGGCCTGAGATCGCAGCCATTGGAAACCTCTCTCTGGTACGTAACCCTAAGAGAAATGGACCTCGTGAAAGGATCAAGAACATCTCCCACCACTCTCCCGACCACAAGAGGATCTCTCACCACTGTCATGTTTTGATCTATGGACCCTCTCATTCACGTGCCGACCGACCACCTCTATGTATGTGTTTTGTGTGTTTATATGTTATGTGCTTTCTCTCTGAGCCCATGAAGCCGTCTTGCTACTTATATAGTGATGTGTGTGTGTGTGTGTTGCATGTAAATTCTTTTTTTTAAAAAAAAAATTTGGTTAACTTTATCGTGTGAATCATCGGCATAATCTTCTTTTTCCATGGTTTTTTTTTGTGAACTTTGCATGTTGATGTACGAGAATCTTTTTTTTTTCATAACATTGAAAGTATATTACAAGTGCTGCCAGCTTATTTCATTGGTTCTTTTTCGTTTTCTTTCTATACATTCTCTCTATTATTATTTTCTTTTCTTTTTTTCCTATTGGGGTTTCGGATGCAATATGATGGTGACGGTCCAATACCATTTTTTTTTATAACCGAGGGGTTCATCTGGGCCTTCGGCCCCACCTACATCCCCTCAGGCCCGGGAGCAGCCTTTAGAGGCCCGGTGACAGGGGCCCAGAGAGCAACACCCTCCCAACCGAGAAAACACCCCCTCCCTCCCCCAACAGCTGGATTCGAACTGGTGACTGGGGCCCCAAGAGCAACACCCTTTCAACCACTCGCCCACTACTTACTGGGTCGGTCCAATACCATTTAATCTAAAATAAGCGGTTTTTTCCAGACAATAAGAACAATTTAATCCAAAACTGAATAATGTTTTACAGACAAAATGAACCATTTAATCCAAATTGAATTATTATTTTTTTGTATAGACAAAAGGAACCATCTAATTTTAAATCTCAAAATTCCGAGGCATCATGTTCGTACGTATTTGCATTAAGTATAAGAAATTTCTAACTATTTGTAGATTCATTTTTAACACTAAGTAAAACCTTTGAATAGGCCACCAGCGCGTGCGTCATGTTCTTTCGTCACGCGCACAATTTTGGTTTTTTTTAAAAAAAACATAGTTCCAAAAATAGGGACATAAATTCTTGAAGCACAAATACCAGTAATAGATTTGTATTTTGAAGCTTGAGATTGCTGAAACAAAAAAAAAAAATAGATTAATTTTTTTATTTTGAAAAAAAATGATATTTCTTCATTTTTCGAAGAATATTTTACATGCTAAACCTTTATTTATCCCATCTTGGGTGGTTTAATCGAAGGGATGAAACAAAACTTATTTTCAATCTAGATTCGAGTCACCATTTTGGGAGAGATCAAACGGATTTTTCCGATTTCCTGGAAGATAAAATTGGATCGAAGGTGCGGTGAACTTTCGGATTATAAAAAAAAATGTTAAATGTTTATTTCATTATTTATTTTTTACAATTAAATTTCAAGTGTTTTGGTTTTTTGAAAAGAGAGTTAAGTTACACAAAAATAATCTGATTTTTGGATACGTGATCTGATTTATCCGTGACTCGGGAATCCAAAAATTAGGTATCCATCGATCAATAAACGAATTCGAGTTCGACAACGGCGAGTGTCGTAAGATGAAAATTTTTATTGTGTCCTTTGACAAAAATTTTTTTTTTATTGTGTGTGCTCGTCGCCCGACTCGCTAAAGATTTTAGGGTTGAGATTTGGTCATTTTTGTTTTATATATTTTGACCCACCATAAAACTTTTAAAAATAAAATGTGTTTTTGGATAAGTTAGCTTTTGAAAAAAAAATTGATATACTTTTTTTTTCAATTTATTTTCACGCATATTTTATTCATTTCGCATGATGCAGCTCTATTTAAAATAACTTTTATATACAAATGTGTTTTTCAATTTTTAGAAATTTTCGCGTATTTTGACTAATTCCCCTAAATTATTTATATTTTGCACACTAATTATTCCTTATTTATATGTATATGTATATATATGTGCATAATTTTGGAGCTAAAATGTTGTTCTCTTTAAATTAATGGCACATAACCCATTATTTTATGTGATTCGATAGTGATTTGATATTTTGAATATAGGCTTCGGTGGCTGAATGAGATTCTACGCCCACGCAATTTGCAAGTAGATTCCTTAATTTAATTTGTTTCTTTATTCTAGTTTCCATGTTGTTTTGTTTTTTTACTTTCTTTTACAGTTGCACATATGAACACATCTTGTTCGAATTATTAACCACTGCCCTGATTCTAGTTATGTTTTTCAAATTACGACATTGTATCAAAAGATTTCATCACAAGGTTAAATAAATTAGTAAGTTAGTAGGGCCAAATGATAAGAATGTATTTTGTTACATCATAGTTCTTTTGAAAGAAGTTCATACGAGTTCGAATCAGTGTAACAAGGTGTAAAACGTTTGTCTCGCATCGAGAATTTCAAATTTGGAGAAGAGTATATATTTTAAATCATATAATTGATTTTTATCCTAAAATTAATCCGGACATCGGTCAAAGCACTCAATTATCAAAAAAACATTCATACGAGACAATACCGAAAATAAAAATTTCATACGATAAATTTTTTGATAATTGAAAAGTTCGGATGTTTGATCTAATTAAATCTTCCAAAATTATTTAAATTTGAACCTGAAACTTGTTAAAATGGGAAAACGAATATGTGATTGGAGTAAAATAAGATTTGAGATATAATGGAGAATAATAATGGATACAATATCATTATGCCAAATATTATGTATCTGATTTGTTTCCATTGTATCTATATTTCCTTTTTACTTTGTTTCTTAATTTTTCTATAAATATGTATCTCATTTTTATTGTAATATAACAAGAAAAAGAAGAGATATAACAATAAAATTAATTTTGTTCTTTCCTATTTGTTTTATTTTATTTCCGCATTTTATTTTTATGGAGAACTGCGACTAACGTAGATACACACTTGGTATTTTATACGACAGTTGTCTGCACCAATAAACTATTCTATTTTTTTAAATTATTATCTGAAGTGTCTTTTCGGTGCTGTTTCGTATGAACTTCTTTCAATAGTTTGAATTCAGCGTATTGTCGTCATGGCCTTGCTCTATCATCATCATTTGCCAAAATTAATAAACCCAAAAAAAAAAAGAATCAGATTATGATAAAATCTACAGAATAATCTCTTGTTTTTTTCATTAATCTTACAAAACATATTTATAATTACATATAGATTTTTTTAAATAAAAATTAACATTAAACCTAAACGAAAAGATATAAATATTATCTAAGAGATAGCATATTATATATATACATTAATATAACCTGATAATTATATGTATATATATATATATATATATATATACGATAGATGATAAATTATGTAAATTTTATCATTTTACGAATTTTCACATATTGAACCAGACGAAATAATCGAGAACATGTATCATTAATAGATATCATATTATATCAAGCCATAATTATACAAATGAAATTGATATGGTAGGGTTCCAATAAGAACTAACAAAAAACATCAAAATAAATGAGCAACATGTAAGGAAGAATAACAAAAATAGCAGATCCTGCCAAAATGGAACGAAGAAAAAAAAAAACCACGTGGTGTGTGGGTAATATAGCAAAAATACCCCCACTTTGCTACAAATATTTCATGACATACCCTTCAAAACCCTAAAATTTTGAAAAAAGGAACAAAAGACATAATTAACCTTTAAAAAAAGTAACGTGATACACTTCTCCCACTTAGTTATTTTGAATTCTATCTCTCTCGTTCCCACACTTTGATAACTCTCCATTTCTTTCTTAACTTTCTCTCTCTACTGTTATCTTTCTCTCAACTCTTCCATTTTTTTCCTTCTCATTTCATTTTTACACAGAAAAACAAACGAAAAATGATTATTTCGTTGAATGTATCTTCACCGTCGGCCTTATATCTTCTTCTTCGTGTGTCGTTCTAAGCCATAACAAATGACAAAAACTGAAGGTAAGTAGTTCATTAATACAAGAGATTGGTTCGATACATAAACTTTGTGTTTTGAGTTTGAGTTTTATGATTTTTAAAGTGAATCGTGTGGTTTTTGATGAAAATGAGACAAATGCATAACAAATCTGTCGAAGAATATGCAAGATGCGCATAATGGAACGGATTGACAACGAAAACAAAGGTATGTCACATTGGTTACACCGTTTAAAATTTAATTTTGGCCGCGCTGGTCATACAGGTCACATTGGTCACACTAGTCCCACTTGTCACACTGGTCACACTAGTCACACTGGTCACACCGTTCAAAATTTAGTTTTGGTCACACTAGTCACACTGGTCACACTGGTCACACTGGTCACACTAGTCACACTGGTCATATTGGTCACACCGAAAATTTTTAAAATTCAGGCGAAAAAATTTATATTTTTGTGATGGAGGGAATTTTAAAATTTTTAAAATATTTAAATTTTTTCCTACGAAATCGAAAAATGTTATTCTCTCTCTTCTCATTAATGTTTCTGCAATTGGGGGCCCACATCAAAGGGTATTATGGGAATAACATAATTATAAGGGTATTTTTTGAAGTTTTTTTTTTCTTTTTGCAGGGGTAGGCACTGAAAGTTTTTGATAAAACCCCTGGTGTGTGTCCCCCCCTTTGGTGTTGTGGAGACCGGGAAAGGGAATGATCAACATGTAATGAAATGGGGAATTGCCCTTTGTGATTGGCCCCAAAGTTAAAGGCGGTCATTTGTTTATCATCAAGGAATAATACTTTGATATCTCTTTTTCTTATTTTTTTTTTCTAAAAATGCAACCAAGCTGAATAGTCTTGTCTATATGTAATATCTCAACCTAATACTGATCCACAACTCGAACCATATTCAATCTAGATACATGAACATGTCAAATATTAGACGATTTTTTTTTTTAATTTTATAATTTCTGAGGATATTCAATATAATATGTAAAAATACAACTCAGTTATTACGTAGATTGATCTTATTCCTTGTTACTAAAATAAAACTACAAAAATTTTCATTATTTTTTACTTTGTTTGATGTTTGGAAAGTTTTTTTATACAGTCAAACCTTAAAATATATTTTGAAATATATATTACCGATATTTTAAATTTTAAATATATAATTTTCTTAATCTTCAAAAATATTGAGACCCAATGTAATTGCGGAAGAGAAAAAAATTACATTCATACACA